GTAACAGGGATCAAACTCAGGTCTTTGTGTCTACAAGGCAGGCGGCAGAACCACTGAGCTAAATCCCTGGCCCTCCTTTGCTTTATATGGTACCTTTTCTTCTGAGCATCCCAACAAAGATGTGGATCCTAGCTCTGGGGCCCAGAAGGAAGTCACACCACAGCCCTAAGGCTGGACCTCAGGGCCTGTGAGATGTGACACTGCTCATCTTGCTCAAAAAGAAGGCTCCAGAGGCGCTCAGAGGGCAGAGGTGGATGAGCTGCACCTCCCAGCTGGATTCGGGGGTTTCACTGAGCCAACGGGGAGCTGGGGTAGAGGCCTCTGGACACATCCCCAGTCCTTCAAACAGGACCTGGCTCAGAGCTTGACTTCGCAGGTCACTATAGACCGGGAGAGGTCACAGCTCTGCAGTGCAAGAGCCAGGATTCTAACCCGACTGTGGTTCCAAAGCTGACTTTACCCCTAGCACACTACCGGAGTTGCCCTCGGGGGCCCAGCAGATACCCGAGCCAGTGTCTATCCAGCATCCCCAGTCCTCCCTGCTCTTGACACCTTTGCCCCACTCTGCCCTTCCTCCGGCTCCAACCTCACTCCTACAAAGGCCAGTTAACCTGGCATCATGCACTGCCTCAATAAGTCAATTGGGACCTTAAGCCAGAAACAACTCCCCGTGCTCAGCCGGGCCATCTGGCTTCCTGCCACCTCGCCTGCAGCCAGCGGCTCACAAATGAATCCTGTATCAGGGCCAAGGAACTGCTGTTCATTAACAGGAGACCTCGGGGTGGTTAATTGGAGTTTATTTCCCGAGGTCCACACCTCAGAGTTGATAGATGATGCTCCTACCAGCACCAGGCACAGGCGGTATTGGTTATCAAGGCTCTCGCCTCGCCTGCCCTCCCCGGCCAGCCCTCCCACTGTTGCTGCAGGGTGGGGGGGCGTGAGGAGGTTGTCTTCCAGTCTCTCCCTCCACTGCTTCCCCTAAAGATCATGGAACCAAGTCAGACAAATGTAAGTTTAAAACCCCAGTTTCTTAATCCCAGCACTTTGGGAGGTGGATGCAGGAAGATAAGTAAAGCCCGGCTTGGGGAATTTAGCAACTGAGTGAAACCCTGTCTCAAAATTTTTAATTAAAAAAAGGGCTGGGGGGAAAAAACAAACGAGGGCCAGGGATTTACCTCAGTGATTCCAGTGCCTGCTTTGCAAGTGCAAGGACCAGAGTTTGATCCCTGGTACCAAAGGAAAAACAAAAAAAAAGGGCTGGGGCTGTAGCTCTGTAAAGGCTCTGGATTCAATCTCCAGTACCGGAAAAAAACAAAACAAATCAACTGTGTTGTAGCCTGGCCCTCTGATCTTGGACATGTCACTTAATGTTTCTGAGCCTCGGTTTCTCCATCTTCAAATTCTAAAGCAGATGGGCCAGGGATTTAGCTCAGTGGCACTGCACCTGCCTTGCAAGCACAAGGTCCTGAATTCAATCCCTGGTACCAAAAAAAAAGAAAAAAAAAAAGAAAAAAGGACATAAGTCTCAGGGCCAAGTACAAAAAAGTCTAAAACATAGCAAGTACTCGGCACACCACCACCTTGTCGATGCCCCCCACCATGTCACCCAGGCCCCCCAAGGTCTCCACAAATCCCAGCCTAGCTCACCACCCCCAACCTTGCCCCCTCAGCCATCCCCACTGCCACCCCCAGTGGCCCAGTCTGGGCTGTCAACCAGGACCCCTTCTCCTTGCTCTCACCCAGTCCTGACCATCATACCTCCTGGACACTGGCCTGCCTGTCCACGTTTCTCCGCTGGGCCTGTCCCAGATCCTCCATCTCCTGGGGGCTCTCCCTGCCACAGTCTCTGTGCTTTCCCTTGGCAGCCAGAGAGAGCTCCCCAAATCTATCAAGTCACCGGTTTACAACATTGTGGTGGCTCCTCGTCACCTCCAGGATGAACCCCAGCCTCTGTTTCAGATGCAGAGTTAGTCCCTCCCCTAGTCTAGCTTGCTCACCTTCCGGAACTGCAGGGGCTCTGTGCCCTGATGCCAGGTGGCCCTCCCTTTCCTATCTGTCCCGGTGACTCCCACTTCAGGGCTGGGCTCAGGAGCTGGCTCCTCCAGGAAGTCCTTCCTGGTGATGCGCATCAGGCTTGAAGTTCTCCTCTGGCTCAGCAGTCCCCCAGAAGATCCTCAGGCCTAAGAGACTTGCGCAGTAGGCGGGCGAGGCAGAAGGCCTTGAGGCTGCCCCAGGCTCAGCTGTGACCTCGCAGGGACCTTGGATCAAGTGGGTCCTCCTAGGCTCACAGGCAGCTGCCAGGCTCGTTCAGCCTTTGCTGCTGTTCCCATTGCCTGCTTTGGGCTCTACGGGACACACACCTGTCCCCTAACCAAATTATTATGACCATCTGCTCTTCCAGCATTTCATTAGCCCCTGAAGCAAAGCCAGCGGCCTCAAGCCAAGCCCAAGCCCAGCAGCAGGTATCAATCAATCTTCCTGTCCGGCCTATGGCCGAAGAAAATGCTTTCCTATTCCTGGTGCAGCTTCACTGGTTTTCCTCCCTAGAGCTGAGAGCAGCCTCTCCCAGTCTCCTCTGCTTCCAGCCTCTGCATACCAGCCCTGGGTTCTCTGAGCCGCACCTCTGATGGGACTGTCCCCTCCTTGGGACCATCAAGGACACCCCTGTTGCCCGATCACCCTGGTGGCCTCTGTGCCCAATCCGAACTGCTCGAGGTGCATCAGCCCACTTAACCTCTCCTAGTCACATGCCTGGTAAGGTTTGGTGCCCGCCTTTCTCCAGGAAAACACACATTAAATGTCGTGTCTGGGATTCCTGCTCAGATTGCCTAGGAAAGCAGGAGCCACTCCACTGTGCCCCTTCAGATCCCTCTGTGTCCTTCTGTCCCAGACCCATTGTTCCTGTGGCTGCAGTGCTGTCCTTCTTCCTTTTGGTGTTTGGCTCCAGCGTGCTAAGTGTCCCTGGCAAGTGTGAGCTCAGCTGTCCCTGTCTTATCCCCAAGCCTAGCTTAGTACAAGATCACACGTGGTTTGAGGGTAGAGGAGAAAAGGGCAAAGCTAGGTCTTTCCTTCCCTGGCACTGTCCACCTGTGCCTAGTGTCTCCTGTGTGCCCGGCTACACTGTCTCCCTTTGATTAGGACCCCCACTGGGCCAGAGACCTCAGAGAGTCAGAAGCAGGGGGTTTCAGACCTAGGAGCCTGCGCTGTACAGCTGCCTGCCAGCAGGTGAGCAGAGTCCCAAAGCCCCAGGCCACTGTGGAGGGTCGCACGTGGATCCAACTCTGGCTCTGTCGCTCTCTGGCTGGAGGATCTTGTCTCCCACCCCTCCTTGGGAGAGGCCATTCTGAGTTGGGTCCCCTGTCCCTGCCCACAGAGCAGCCCAGGTTGGGGGCTGGGCTGACCACAAGCTGAGCCAATATTCTGTTCCACACTTCTGCTTGGTGGACACTTGCCATCTGCCATGCAGTGAACTCTGTCACTACCCTTGCGTGTTTCCCTGGTGCTGCTGGGCTGCCTTTGAGATGTCCCTTGGGCTGCCTGCCTGGACCCCAGCCCTGATACTCATTTTCCACTGAACTCTGGCCTCAGACCCTACCTCAGAGCCTCGCTTTGCCATCTGAAAGTGGAGATACTGTCCCTGTCGGCACAGAAGAGGCATAATGGGTAACTGGAGGGGCACCATCACACCTCGCCTTCAGGAAACACTCCCACTGCTTTGTCCTGAGCCGGCCGAGGGAACCTCTGTAGAACGTGGGAGAAAAAGCGTCACGCCCAGAGCCTTGTCCCTGCCCTGAAAACCCTTGCTCTCCCAACTGATCTCAGCTTCCTGCTGCCACTCTGACTCCTGGGCTGTGGCAAGTGGTGGGCAGGGACGAGGATGCCCCAGCAGCTAGGTGGTATCCTGAGGAGACATGGAGGCCACAGGGTCTCAAGCCTCAGCCCCAAAGCTAATAAACATTATCGATGTGTGGTGAGGGAGGGAGGAAGGTGTGCAGCTCGGAAACCATCGAGACTGATTTATTGGTTAATTAGTGGTTTCTACAGCCACAGACTTCCCCAGCTGTGAGGGGGGTGGAGAGGGAGGGGATCATGGAGCAGCGGGGACACAGGGAGGCCAGCTGGGACCCAACCCAGGCTCGGTGTCCTTGTCCCTTTGGAACCAGGAGCACCAAGGGCTGGAAGAACAAGGAGCATGAAGTATTTGGACCTAGAAATGGATGCAGTGCTGGATGGCCAGGGAAGCACAGTTGGCCCCACTGCCTGCAAGCCATGCTTAAGGATGGAGACAGGGAGCACACCGGGGTTTCTAGGGCAGCCAGACAGGAGAACTGCAGGTTTGGAAAAGTGAAGCAGGAAGAACCAAGAAAAATCCCAGAAACCATGGAGACAGAGAAGAGGCCCCAGAGGTGGAAAAGAAAGGCCACTGTGTTAAATAAAAAAAGCCGGGCATGATGGTGCACGCCTGTAATCCCAGCACTCAGGAGGCTGAGGCAGGAGGGTCGCTGCAAGTTCGAGATGAGCCTGGGCTACGCAGTGAGTTCCAGAGCAATCAGGACTACGTAGTGAGATCCTGTCCCAAAAAACAAAACAAAGAAAGAAAAAGCGACGGGTTTAACTCCAGTCTCTACCGAAAACTGGCTATGTGATCTTGCCTTGGACGAATCTCTAAGCCTTGCTGTCCTTGACTTCTATCTTTGTAAAACGTGGCTGAGCCTAGCTCCCTTGCCAAGCTTCTTTCTTTTTTTTCTTTTTTTCTCTTTTTTTGTATCAGGGATTGAACTCAGGACTTCACACTTGCAAGGCAGGCAGAGGAACCACTAAGTAACATTCCAGCCCCAAGCTATTTTGATATTAAACCAGCACATACAGTGAGAGTTCCGTGAACGTGTGCTGTTAACTGCTAGCATTAAATCATAGAGGACACGGCTTGGGACCGAGAAAGGACCCAGTAACAGGTAGGTGGTAGTGGAAGGAGGGCCTGGAAAGTGCCCTCCGGGTGAATAGACACAAAGCTGCTCTCCTGCCAGGCCAGCTTTGGGCACAGGCTGGTCCACTGCGCCAGGCTGGGTGAATCCTTTACCCTGCTGCCCAGGGGGATCCATTGGGCTGGAGTTTAGGCAAGTCGGGCCACGGTGTGAACTCTCTTCAGAGGGCTCCTGCCAGGGCCGGATCCCCTAGCCAAAGACGTCTGCCCGCGGGGAAGCGATGTGACAGATAAAGGACGCAGCAGAGTCCAGACCGGCAGGGTTTATTCAGGCCCGCGGGCAGGCAGGGCTCGAGACGCCCCTGTGCGGGGAGCGGGCTCCCCCCTGGACTCTGCACCC